CTCTGAAGAATTAGGTGTCCCTCTTTCAAGCTTAGGATCGTCCTTGAATGTTTTAATGCCCCTGAGCTGCAATTCGTGGTATAAATGGGATATAAAGCTAAGTCGAGTGTCCTCGCCCCTGAAACTCAAAAACACATCGTGGTTCCATTCAGATGAAGGACGAAAGGCAGAGGCTGTTTGGGTGCTCAATTCCATTGGCAATCTGCTGCTCCTGCAAACACTACTCAATTAAAGATTCAAAAATCCAAACACTCCATGAAATAAATACAAAGATGATGATAAATGGCTTGAAAAATGAAAAAGATATCGTGAAGTAGAAACTGCATATGCTTTAGCTTAATTAATGTTACCTGAACAAAGCAGATATGGAAATGTAGACGAAGCAAGCCAACCAAAACTCACAAAAAATACAACTTCTCAAGATTAGCCAAGAAACCAACAAGAAGAAACAAAGCTAGCAGCCTCAGAAAAGAGAGAGACTTGGAAACCGTGTACAGGCGAGCACACGGTTTTATCACCAATGGGAGTCATTTCTCTTTTCTTTTCTTTTTTCTTTTTTTTTCCTTTGTTTTTTATGAAATAGGGAGGAAGAACCCCATTAAATTTCATGGAAGTTGTCTTTAAAGAGAGTTCCCACAACTTTATCTAGAGAAGAAAATCCATTCTTTTTTTTCTTTTTCTTTTTTGGCTATATCACACCACTAATTGAATTTCAGAAATTTAATTAATACACAAAATTGTCTGAGTCAAAAAGAAATAATGTTACAGTAAGCACACAGTTTCTCTGGTCTTCAATGGGAGTCCAAGCCTCATAAAAAAGGAGATATTAGAGCATCTCCCGTCAAATACCAAACATCAAATTTAAATTTGATGGCTGATATGGCAATTTGACATCTTACACAGCTTTACACTCCACCCGATATGTCAAATTAAATTATTATTTTATTACATTTTAGTGTTGATTTATTTTTAATTAAAAAGAATAGAAAATAATAATAATAAAATATTCATTTGACATCTTGCTTTTGGGATATCAAAAATAACATCTCAATCTTCAACCTTCATTCCACATCAGCTTTGACACATCGGTTGGAGTGTGTGAGATGTTATTTCTAGCTGTTAAATGTCTATGTGGCACTTTTGACATATCGGTTGGAGATGCTCTTAGTGGCCACCAGCTTACAGATAGAAAGAGAGAGAGGGGAGAAAAGGTTGAAACCGTGTTACAGTATGCACATGCTTTCTCTTGTCGGTTATCATTTGCTTTTCAAAGTCTTGGGTCAATGAGTGATTTCATTTGCTTTTCAATGAAGAGGCCAATTATTTGAATGGTTGGTTTCTTGGTTAAACTGTTGTGAGATTTAATTGAAGGAAATATCAAGGCAATTACTTGATTTTTTCATCACAATATATATGTAGTAAAGAAGAACAATGGATCAAATAATAATCACGAAATTTGGTTAAGGCATCAAGGATTTTCCTTTTCTCTACAATGTTTACTTTTGATTCTCATTTTACAGTGTTTACTTTTAATCAGTCTAGAACTCATCAATAAAGAGAAGAAAAAGAAAACCTTTGCTTACGATGAGAAAAGAAACAAAAAATGTAATTAGAACAAATTTAAAAGTTCTAAAGCAATTTGTCAAAGAGGCATCCATTGTTGCATCCCTTAATACGCAAATGTATCACAAATTCCATGATCATGTTTTGTGTTGTATATACGCGCTTCCACGCCTGCGAGAAACTTTTTATAAAAAAAAATTTGGTTAAGGCATCAAGGATTTTCCTTTTCTCTACAATGTTTACTTTTTTTTTGGATGAGATCCAAGGGTGTCCACTGCCGACAGTAGTGACTAATCCCTTTCGCCGCGGGAGCTCTCCAAAGGAGGTAAACAGCTGGCCACGAAATGCGCTCCATTCCCATGGGCGGGGATCGAACCCCCAACCACATGATTAAGGAATGAGGTGAGCTACCACCACACCACATCTCATGGTTTCTACAATGTTTACTTTTGATCCATCTAAAAGTCATCAAAAATGAAAGGTTGTAGAAAAAAGAGTTTTTCCTTATCTCTTCCAGCCGAAAGCAGCTTGGTGCGTTCCACCCATCAGCTCTGCCACAACCTAATTCCTATAATAATTTTCAAAGAATAATAAAGGGATATGATTTCTCCATTCCATTTTTCTCCACTTACACTCCCTTTTGCTTTTTAATACTTTTTAATTAATTTTTTTTCCTTCTTTTTCCTATTCTACCCTTACCCTACATTAATTTCTTTTTACTTCACTTTTATATTAGTTTTTTTTAATACTTAATTTTCCAACTTACACTCAATTTTCAGTCTTATTTTTTTTTCTTTAATCGAGTAAGAAATTAAGTTTTTTTTTTCCCTTAAATATTGAAAATGGAGTGAAAGTTAGAAAATTAAGTATAAAGAAAAAGAAAAAATATAAAAGTGGAGTAAAAAAGAAATTAATGTAGGGTAAGGATAGAATAGGAAAGAAAAAGAAATAAAATTGATTACAAAGTATTAAAAAGCAAAAGAGAATATAAGTGGAGAAAATGAGAATGGGGAAATCAGCTCCCATAATAAAAGCCTTAGTTGCCTGAAGACCAATAATTCAAAAGATAAGAAAAATCCTATCTTGCAGAGGGTTAGTGGTTAACAAAAGATATTACCGCACAGAGACAAAAACAGAACAATGCAGATATGGTAACGTAGACGAAGCAAGCCAACCAAAACTCACAAAAAATACAACTTCTCAAGATCAGCCAAGAAATCAACAAAAACAAGCAAAAAGCTAACACGCTCTCTTGTCAGTTATCCCCAACGTCTCCAATGGGAGTCAAAAGTCTTGGGTCAATGAGTGATTTCTTTTACTTTTCAATGAAGAGGCCAATTATTTGAATGGTCGGTTTCTTGGTAAAACTGGGGTGAGATTAATTGAAGGAAATATCAAGGTAATTACTTGATCTTTTCATCACAATATGTATGGAGTAAAAGAGAACAATGGATCAAATAATAATCCCCAAATTTGATTAAGGCATCAAGGATTTTCCCTCTCTACAATGTTTACTTTGATCTCCTGTTACAATGTTTACTTTTGATCCGTCTAGAACTCATCAATAAAGAGATAAATAAATAAAAAACAAATTAAGACCACATTGCATTGCAAATTAATGGCCAATTAAAAGCTAATTAAGACGTCACTCATTCTCGAATTATAGAGGCTAGAATTGCATATAGAAAGATCAAACAAAACCTTACTAATTATTATTTATTAAAATCCAACTGGGTTGCTCCATTGTCATATTTCTACAGGAAGCTCCGAATTCTAAGGTAAGAGATATCCTATATTTGTGAAATTGAGTATTTGACCAAGTATATGGCCATTAGTTACGCAACTTTTGTTTTGGTTGAATAGTTACACTACTTTGAATCTTAGCTGTTTCATTGTTTCACTAGAGACTCAGAAAGGCTTCCTAAGGGGGGGAGGGGGGTAGCTCGGTGTTTGAACTAATTAAGATTGACCAGAAAAAACAGATTATGAAGAGACTATAGTATTGTTGATTAGTACAATCAATTCAGAGAATACCACACATCAGTAGTTCAGAACTCTTTCACAGATTAAGAATAAACTATGGTAGCAAAAAGCTGTGTTAATTGGTTGATTTGCAATACATCACAAGTTGAAAAATGGTTTTCACAGATTAAGAATAAACTATGCTAAAAAGAGTCTATCTGGCAGGTATCATTTGCCATACAGCAGAGGTTCATAAATGTTTTTCACATATTAAGAATAAACTATGCTAGCAAGAATTTGTGTTCAGGTTTCATTTGCCATACATGACAAATTCATAACTGTGTCTTGTGAAAATATAACCGCATGTTTATATTTATTATGCATATAATTATGTAGTTAATATATATTTGAATGTTGGTTGGGAGCATATGCCGACATTATTATGATGTTTATGTGATATCCATGATTAAATTGAAAGAATTCTGAAATGGAGTCTGAGTTGGAGGTGACTCCGGAAGTAAGTGTGGAGTTCAAACCACAAGTGGGACTTGAATTTGATTCCCTTGAGGATGTGTTAAAAATGTATAATGTGTATGCAAAAAAAGCAGGATTTGGCGTTCGGTGTTATACAACCAAAACTTCCAGAGTCACAGGGGAGGTAGTAAGGAAAGAATTTGTATGTTGTAAACAAGGGCATACGGAGAGCAAGGTTGGTCGGAAGAAAAGAAGGCGAGGATGTGTTCGAACTGGTTGCATGGCTAAACTTGCAGTTTTGAAGCCATATGAAAAGAATAAGTACACTGTTGTAAAGTTCAAGGAGGAACACAACCATGAAATGACAGCATACGATAAAGTCCATTTGTTGAGATCTCACCGTAAACTTGTTGCTTCGATTCAGCTGCACCAAAATGGTTTCAACTGCATCCTCAATTTGTGATACTCGCAAGTGCACGAGCCGTTTGGTAGTATAGCATATGTAAGTGCGAGGTCGATC